TCCGACTGGAGGTCTTACGGAGCGTCGTGAGCCTGAGTCTCGTCCTGCGTCGCCTGAGTCTCGTCGAGCATCGCCTGTTCGTGCTGCTCACACTGGTCGTCGTGTCCCGCGTCAGCGTCCTCCTGCTGTCCCAGGCACTCACCAGATGGCGCTTCGTCCTTCCACTGCTCCCCAGCGTGTCCCTCTCCCGGCTCCTCCTGCGTCCTCTCTTCCTGCTCTTGCTGACCCTGAGTCTGACTCTCTTCGTGCTGCCAGTCCTACTGTCACGCGTCTCCTGGCTACTGTTGTCACTGACCCTTCCTTTGAGTCCACTGCTGCGTCTGCCTTAGTTGCCGAGCTTGTCGACTTTGCTGCCACTTGTCGTCTCGACTACGCCGCTAGCCTAGTTGCTGAGTCTGAGTCTGTCTGTCCTCCGTCCGTCGGGGGTGAGTGTGCTCTTGGCACGGACGTCCTTGAGGACAGGCAGGAGGAGTTTGAGTGTTTTGCCGCTGCTTTACCTCATCTCGTGTCCATGCTAGTTGCCCCTGAGGGAGACCCGGATGCACCAGACATCCCGACTCCGCGCTCTTACGCAGAGGCGATAGAGGGTCCCTACTCCTCTCAGTGGCAGACAGCCATGGACGCAGAGATGGCTTCCTGGAAGTCCACAGGCACCTACGTCGACGAGGTTCCCCCACCTGGGGCGAACATCGTCAGTGGCATGTGGATTTTCAGGGTGAAGCGGCCGCCGGGTTCTCCGCCTGTCTTCAAGGCGCGTTACGTTGCACGAGGCTTCAGTCAGCGAGAGGGAGTTGACTTCTTCCAGACCTTCTCCCCGACCCCGAAGATGACCACTCTTCGGGTTCTGCTGCACGTCGCCGCTCAGCGTGACTACGAGCTCCACTCTCTTGACTTCAGCACTGATTTCCTACAGGGCAGCCTGCACGAGGAGATCTGGCTGCGCCGCCCACCTGGCTTCACTGGGTCGTTCCCTCCTGGTACCCAGTGGAGCCTCCGGCGGCCAGTCTACGGTCTCCGACAGGCGCCATGTGAGTGGCACGACACACTGAGGACTACACTTGCGGCTCTTGGGTTCGCTCCTTCTACTGCTGACCCGTCGCTGTTTCTACGCACCGACACTTCGCTGCCGCCGTTCTACATCCTCGTGTACGTCGACGACTTGGTCTTTGCCACTGCAGACACTGCGGCACTCGCCCACGTGAAGTCGGAGCTGCAGAAGAGACACACGTGCACAGACCTGGGTGAACTGACAAGCTATCTTGGCTTGCGGATCACCCGGGACAGAGCACGGCGCACCATCACCTTGACTCAGTCACACATGGTGCAGCAGGTCCTTCAGCGCTTCCGCTTCACGTACTCCTCGCCTCAGCCCACTCCTCTGCCTACCGGTCACTCGCTCTCAGCTCTGCCTTCGGATGAGTCCGTAGAGCCGAGTGGCCCGTATCCAGAGCTTGTGGGCTGCCTCATGTACCTGATGACCTGCACTCGACCTGACCTTGCATACCCTCTTAGCATCCTTGCACGCTATGTCGCTCCTGGCCGTCACCAGAAGGAGCACATGGATGCCGCTAAGAGGGTGTTGCGCTACTTGTGCAGTACGTCGGGCATGGGGCTAGTGCTTGGAGGACGAGACCGAGTTGTACTCACTGGGCACTCAGACGCGTCTTGGGCTGACGACCAGGCTACTCAGCGGTCGTCTCAGGGTTACACCTTCAGCCTTGGCTCTGGTTCAGTTTCTTGGCGTTCTACACGCTCGTCTTCTGTTCTCAGCTCCAGTTGTGAGGCTGAGATCTACGCCACAGCCATGGCTGCACAGGAGTTACGCTGGCTCACCTACCTGCTGACCGACTTGGGAGAGCGGCCTCGTTCTCCTCCAGTGCTGTACGTCGACAACAAGGCTGCCATTGCCTTGTGTGAGGAGCACAGACTGGAGCACAGAACGAAGCATATCGCTCTGCGCTACTTCCTTGCTCGAGAGCTGCAGCAGCGCGGTCAGCTTCGTCTGCGTTACGTGGCCACTCGGGCCAACACTGCTGATGTGTTCACCAAGGCGGCTTCAGCCTTGTGACCATCAGCGCTTCTGTACTGTTCTAGGCCTCGTGCCTACTGGGCCTCACTTGCTTACTTCTTGACTCTGCTTGTACTGTGATCTCTATATATATACCTGCTTGTTTACTCTTGCTAGGTTGTGATCACTGTATCTCTTGTTATACTATCAACCTGCATGTGAACTGGTCTTGTGACCACTTGCTTGTGCTCAGAATTTGTGTGGTTTCCTTGAGATCCACCCTGAGCTTGCTTTGCTTTGCTTTGACTGGTCTTGTGACCATCTGGTTGTCTCCCACTTAGCCTATGGGGGTGTGTCAAACATTATATGTTCATATTGTGTAGGCTATAGTGGGTTTAGCCTTAGGGGGTACAGCTTTGTTAGGGTTTCCTACTTGTATCCCCCTCCTACCTAGTTTCATTCATTCTCGTTCTATTCTAGATTCTAACACTCCGCCCACACACACAGTCGCCTCTCCGCCCACACACACAGTCGCCTCTCCACCCACACACACAGTCGCCTCTCCGCGCCCACACACATTCGCCTCTCCGCACACCCGCTTCGAAACAAGCCGGCCTAAGGCTCATGGCGCCGAAACAATCGCCCGTCCACACTCTCTGCCTCCTCACATCATCCCCCCAACTACAATCACAGGTTGGACGACGTACCAACAGGGGAGCGGCGTGGAAGGGATCTAACCCACACATTCGCAGCGGTGAGCACCACCATTAGTTCCCCCTTTTACGGAACATGCCTCGAGAGTAACCCCGCATTCTTCCGTCCACAATCTCCCCCTTTCAGTTTCCCATGTTCGAGGCAAGGCCTCCATTCTCACTCACGCATGCGCCCCCATATCTCTCTCCCTCCCTAGATTTCCCTCCGTGGTTGTGTAAATCTCTCCAGCCCACTGTCGTTCAACCTCCCTCGAGCCCCTACCCTTCCCCCTCCCATGACCTCACCCTCTCATTCTCACACCCTTGAGCTCCCCCGTTCATTCTCTCTCCCATAACCTGCCCCTCTCATTCTCACGCCCTAAATCTCCCCCATTCATCCTCCCCCCGCCAACCTGCCCCATTCAGTCTCACACCCTCAATCTCCCCTATCATTCCCCATCCAAGGACCTGCCCTTTCCTTCTCAGACCCTCGATCTCCCCCATTCTTTCTCCCCCCCATGACCTGCCCCTTTCAATCTCACACCCTCGAGCTCCCCCGTTCATTCACCCTCCCATGACCTGCCCCTTTCATTCCCACACCCTCGAACTCCCCATATCATCCTCCCTCCCATGACCATCCCCTTTCTTTCTCACACCCTCTTCATCCCCCTACCATTCCCCCTCCCATGACCTGCCCCTTTCTTCATCACACCCTCAATCTCCTCCATTCTCTCTCCCCCCCGCGACCTGCCCCTTTCCTTCTCACAAACTCGATCTCCCCCTACCATCCTCCCTCCCATGACCTGCCCCTTTCTTTCTCACACCCTCGATCTCCCCCTTTCATTCCCCCTCCCATGACCTACCCTTTCAATATCACACCCTCAATCTCCCCCATTCATTCTCCATCCCCTGACCTACCTTTTCATTCTCACACCCTGAATCTCCCCCATTCATTTTCTTCCCCAGGACCTGCCCCTTCCATTCACTCTCCCTCCCCCCGACCTGCCCCTATTATTCTCACACCCACCATCTCCCCTTGCTACCCTGAAACTTTCTTCCTCCCCCCTGCCACCCATGTCATCCACTCTTTCCCCTCTCACCCTTAAAAAAGTGTCATTCCCCCGGCTCCTGGTCCTCCCCGTGCGCACGCACAGCCGCAATCGGACTCCCGCAGTCTCCCCGCCGCGTTCTGCCCATACCTCCTCCGCCTTACCCCATCCCCCCAACCACCATCGCAGATTGCTCAACGTCCCGAGGGGGGAGCGGCACATAAGTGCGCGTACACAGGCAATCGCAGCGGTGAGCACTGCCAAAGTCTCCCCCTCCCCCCATTCATCCATCGAATATTATCCATTCACCCTCCTGTGTGTATTTTCCGGGGGTATTCTCCTTTTTTCGCGGCAAGGCCTCCATCATAAACCTCACGATCGCCCCCGATCTCTCTCCCTCCATCAACCACCACCAGTGGTTCACCCTCCCACTTTCATTCAACCTCCCTTGTGCTGCCCTTTCATACACACTCCACAGAACTCCCCACTCATTCTCCCCCACTTTTGCAGCCCCTTACTCTCCCCCCCCATCGGTGTCCTCCTATCATTCTCCCACCATTGAACTCCCCCATTTGATACCAGAGTGTGATGGCGTCTCGTACCAGTACTGGCTCCGAACCCCGAGATGTGATGGGTCGAGCAGTGAAGGAAATCGCCCTAGGTCATCGAACACCCCAATTGCCAATTTCGAGACATCTCCAGGAGCCAATAGCACTCTTGCGGAGTGGGGCTACGCTTCTATTTGATGGGAAGCGGATAGCTTCGTGCGGTGACTTAATGTATTTGTACACGCTCGCGGCACCGCGCCTCACCAAACGGCTTATGGCGATAGGGGCCTCAAGCGGTACGTGAGTTTGGTTTGGCTATGCCCGCCTGCCTTGTATTTGTCGGGCTTTAGAGTACGCATCGCACAATTGTCGGTCCAATACTCACCACCAGCTGTTGCCCTCATCATCATCATCCAGGAACGGACGGACCAGAGGCGTTGGAGATTGCACGCAAGCGTCTTCGTGCTCATGGCCAGGAGTTGCAATTTGGTGGTGAGGACGTGGTGGGCCGGGCTGGGGATCTCCTGTCCCGAACACCGCGCGCGATTGTCCTCGTCACCTATGAGTTTGCGGATTGTTTTTTCAACGGCGAAGGAGTCCTGCAAAACGTCACCGGTTTCAACCATGGAGGGCATCGTCGTGGTGACAAATACAAGCATCTCAAAGAAACGGGTGAGGATGTGTGAAATGAGATTGTGTGCATATGGTTGGGAGAGGTGGAACCTTTGCCCATCCCCTGTCTCCTTCGCCCATCCCCTGTCATCTTTGCCAACCCCCTTGTCCTTTGCCCATCCCCTGTCTCCTTTGCCCATCCCCTGTCTCCTTTGCCCATCCCTTGTCTCCTTTGCCCATCCCCTGTCTCCTTTGCCCATCCCCAGTCTCCTTCGCCCATCCCCTGTCATCTTTGCCCACCCTCTGTCCTTTGCACATCCCCTGTCTCCTTTGCCAATCCCATGTCTCCTTCGCCCATCCCCTGTCATCTTTGCCCATCCCCTGTGATTTGCACATCCCTTGTCTCCTTTGCCCATCCCCTGTCTCCTTTGCCCACCCCCTGTCTCCTTTGCCCATCCCCTGTCTCCTTCGCCCATCCCCTGTCATCTTTGCCCACCCCCTGTCCTTTGCACATCGCCTGTCTCCTTTGCCCATCCCCTGTCTCCTTTGCCCATCCCCTGTCTCCTTCGCCCATCCCCTGTCATCTTTGCCAACCCCCTTGTCCTTTGCCCATCCCCTTTCTCCTTTGCACATCGCCTGTCTCCTTTGCCCATCCCCTGTCTCCTTTGCCCATCCCCTGTCTCCTTTGCCCATCCCCTGTCTCCTTTGCCCACCCCCTGTCTCCTTTGCCCATCCCCTGTCTCCTTTGCCCATCCCCTGTCATCTTTGCCAACCCCCTTGTCCTTTGCCCATCCCCTTTCTCCTTTGCACATCGCCTGTCTCCTTTGCCCATCCCCTGTCTCCTTTGCCCATCCCTTGTCTCCTTTGCCCATCCCCTGTCTCCTTTGCCCATCCCCAGTCTCCTTCGCCCATCCCCTGTCATCTTTGCCCACCCTCTGTCCTTTGCACATCCCCTGTCTCCTTTGCCAATCCCATGTCTCCTTCGCCCATCCCCTGTCATCTTTGCCCATCCCCTGTCCTTTGCACATCCCTTGTCTCCTTTGCCCATCCCCTGTCTCCTTTGCCCACCCCCTGTCCTTTGCACATCCCCTGTCTCCTTTGCCCACCCCCTGTCTCCTTTGCCCATCCCCTGTCTCCTTTGCCCATCCCCTGTCTCCTTCGCCCATCCCCTGTCATCTTTGCCAACCCCCTTGTCCTTTGCCCATCCCCTTTCTCCTTTGCCCATCGCCTGTCTCCTTTGCCCATCCCCTGTCTCCTTTGCCCATCCCCTGTCTCCTTTGCCCATCCCCTGTCTCCTTTGCCCACCCCCTGTCTCCTTTGCCCATCCCCTGTCTCCTTTGCCCATCCCCTGTCATCTTTGCCAACCCCCTTGTCCTTTGCCCATCCCCTTTCTCCTTTGCACATCGCCTGTCTCCTTTGCCCATCCCCTGTCTCCTTTGCCCATCCCTTGTCTCCTTTGCCCATCCCCTGTCTCCTTTGCCCATCCCCAGTCTCCTTCGCCCATCCCCTGTCATCTTTGCCCACCCTCTGTCCTTTGCACATCCCCTGTCTCCTTTGCCAATCCCATGTCTCCTTCGCCCATTCCCTGTCATCTTTGCCCATCCCCTGTCCTTTGCACATCCCTTGTCTCCTTTGCCCATCCCCTGTCTCCTTTGCCCACCCCCTGTCTCCTTTGCCCATCCCCTGTCTCCTTCGCCCATCCCCTGTCATCTTTGCCCACCCCCTGTCCTTTGCACATCCCCTGTCTCCTTTGCCCATCCCCTGTCTCCTTTGCCAATCCCCTGTCTCCTTCGCCCATCCCCTGTCATCTTTGCCAACCCCCTTGTCCTTTGCCCATCCCCTTTCTCCTTTGCACATCGCCTGTCTCCTTTGCCCATCCCCTGTCTCCTTTGCCCATCCCCTGTCTCCTTTGCCCATCCCCTGTCTCCTTTGCCCACCCCCTGTTTCCTTTGCCCATCCCCAGTCTCCTTCGCCCATCCCCTGTCATCTTTGCCCATCCCCTGTCCTTTGCACATCCCCTGTCTCCTTTGCCAATCCCATGTCTCCTTCGCCCATCCCCTGTCATCTTTGCCCATCCCCTGTCCTTTGCACATCCCTTGTCTCCTTTGCCCATCCCCTGTCTCCTTTGCCCACCCCCTGTCCTTTGCACATCCCCTGTCTCCTTTGCCCATCCCCTGTCTCCTTTGCCAATCCCCTGTCTCCTTCGCCCATCCCCTGTCTCCTGTTGGGACTATGAAATGTCAATTGTCAATTACTACCCCCCCATTTTTTTTATAACAGGAGAATTGCCCGCAGGGCTACATTCCCCAACGGAGGGGCAACTTCATCTCGATTTAGAAGAAGTGGTTCTCGAGCTCGAGGAAGACATGGTGCCGCTGCCTGAAGGAGATATCAACGTCGTAGGCGCCCCTACGCCTATCCCTGAGGCGGTCCATGAGAGCCCGTTCGCTCAAGGGCGATCGGCGAGTGGACTTGGGGTGGTTGAGGGGTCGCTCGATTGCCCCACTCCTTCGGCCCCTGAGGCGATTGGGCAAGGGGGGATGAGAGGGGAGCGTGGCTGCGTTGGGCAGCGATTGGAGAGCATTCCAGAGGGTCAGAATGAGGATGACATTCCCCCTCCACCTGAGATCGTGCCGGACACGTGGACGTCGGGGTTCGTCACCCCTCATGCCAGGTGGGCATTGCTTTCGTCCCCGCTGATCCCCTTACTGCCTTGCCATGTTGCTGCCCCATGCTGCATGGCGTACCCTGGTGCAACTGTAGCATGGACATGCCGTTGCCTCCCATGCTGCATTCTCTTGTTGCTGCCCCATGTCGTGTGGCTTTCCTTGCGATGATGAGCATCTCAATGACATCCCGTTCCCCCTGCAGGCCATAAAACCATGAGTCTGTCCCTGGCTGCATGGATTGCGTGAGCGCGGTTGCATCAACTGTACATTTCTCTTCCTCTGTGTTGCCCCATATCGTGTTACTATTACACACGTCAGGGAAGAGGCAACTGTAGTGGAGGACCACCCCTCGACGGGCTCATCGCCCCCTCCTGTTTGGCCAGTGTCGCCCAGCGTGTCCGAGCTTGCGGGAAGCGTCGTATGTCTACTTGATCCGCTGTTGCTCGTGCGTTTCTTCATGACATTATGTATTGGGTGCACTGTGATCACCGGTTGCAACGGTCGAATGAGGTTACAATCCTGGTGGCGTCGGTGGACATGTTTTGGCTTGGCTTGGAGATGCACAAAGTGTGGTGGGACTTGTGAGTTTTGGTCCACAGACCGGAGCAGTAGGGATGGCACTGAGGGAAAACGTGGGCCGCGAACACCCCCTGCAGCGTCGAGATTCATGGGTGCGCTTGCGCTTGCGGGCTTGGGGTATCAGGCGTTGTGGGAGGTTAGTCGTACTCTTGGGCTATGGATACCATCACGGAAAAGTTTCTATAGATACATGGGCGGTGAGAATGGTTTGTGGTGCAGTATACAGAGGATGGCGTCCAGATCCATGGAAGCGGTGAGGGGGGAGATGGGAAAGAGGCCTATTCATGGAGAGTGGATTTGTGTGGACGGCCGATGGGACAAAGCCAGAGAGGGCCAGTGGTGTACTGTGTCGTTCATGGATCGAATAACAAGGAAGGTTATGCATTGTGTCACCGTGTCGAAAAAGGCTACAGGGGGGTCATCGCCCGCCCTTGAGAAGATAGCTTTCGAACGTGGGTTAGAGGAGCTCAAACAAATAGGATTCGTTGTCAAGGGAATCATTTCCGATGAGGGGGGGTCCTTCAGGGCGGCAGTTATTGATCACGGGCTCAATCATCAAATGGACGTCTGGCATAAAGGTCGGAATTTGACTAGACGCTTTGTGCAGGACTTCATAGATGCAAAAAAAACATCGCTGCGCGTACCCGAATGCAAGAGTGTGGAGGATGTTTGGCATGTGGCCCCCCAACATCTGTGGGGCTGGCTGCAAGACAGTGGGTATAAAGAGCGGCTTACCCAGGGCTCCACTAGAGAGTCACTTGTGAAGGCCGTGTGCGAATTGTTGGGCAAATTCAAATATAAAAATATGAGAGCCACAGCTGCAGCTTGGAAATTTCCAGCCATGCGAAAGGTGTTGCGGTTGCGTAGGAAGGGGGTAGCTAGAGCGGAGGGAGATGGGAAGGAGAACGGAGGAGGGGGGGTAGGGGAAGGACGCGCTTCAAAAAGGCAACGGTGCGAGGGCAATTCTGGGTCCGGATCGGCTTTGGTCGACATTCGCGTTCAACATGGTGGGGAGAGTGGGCGCGTGGAGATCGGTGGTCAGCGATTATCGACACCCGTCCATGCTCGGAGGCGTCGTTCCTCATCATCCAGGCTTCGGTGTCAGGCAGGGTTCACACACCCGACGAGGAGGATGAGGTGGAGCACGTGACAGAGATGGATGAGGCCCCCACTTCAGGTATGATGGAGATGTTATGCTCATCTGTTGGGCAGGGGTTGAATGGGGTTGTGCTACATTTATGCCATACGCAAAGTAAGGGCCTCCCGTGTGTCTCCATGTGTGATCATTACTCGCTCACCCGTTTCCTTGTTCTCTTTCTTGTGCATATGCCTATCATGTGCAGACACCCATGATATGGCAGCGGGCGACGAGGATGCAGTTGCACCCGAGTCGCCTCATCGTCGCTGGGAGGAGAGGGGGACTAAGAAGAGGCGGCGGGAGGAGTTGGAGGGGGTGGAAAACGACGATTTGGCCATGGATGATCTCGTCGAGGAGGTGACTGTTGGGCAGCGCTTTAGTGTACACTTCCACCATGTCATGGTGCGCAATGCGACACTCGCAAGACTGGGTCTCCCCATGAGTGCTGAGGATGTGGCAGCTGAGCTCGCCCTCGCTGCTGACCATTGGGCGGGTCTACATGCGGGTTGTGCTAGGGGGGACGTCCTTCCTCGTTGCGTGAAGGACAACTGGGGCCCTGAGAGTGCTGTGTACGAGCCCGACTCTGAGACCCACAAGGCGGTGAAAGAGTGGCTGGCCACTCACTGCAGCGCAGAACAGATGCGACCCTACGTGCTTGGGGCGGGGAGTTGGCTAAACGAATCATTCCACTCCCTCATCTGCAAGTATGCTCCCAAGCGCGTGAGGTTCTTGGGGAGCATGGAGGCTCGCATTGCATTGGCCGTGCTCCACTGGAACAACACTGTGGAGCGGGTGGTCAAGGCATACAAAACACGGCTCCGAAAGGCGACACGGGTCAGGCGTGGCAAGAAAGATCGTGTTCTGGGCCCCATGGACTGGACCTGGGTTGACGACATCATGCGCGACTGGACGGCTTCCCGGGGGAGGCCTGAGCCTGCTCCGCCTGTGGTTACACCCGATTCGGATGCACCCGAGTCTGTTCCCCCTCGAGACACTGATTATGTTTTTTCCACCCCGCCTCCAGCCACAGTGCTTTGTCCAGGCCGGGAAGCGACCAGCAGCACCAGCTCGTGGTCCAAGAGGCGCCACAGGACCGTGCGTGGCCCCCGCCCGTCCCGTGCACGCTGTCGTCTCACGTGTAAGTCACGTGGTTCCTCGCCTATCTTTATGCTTTTGAATCTACATGTCACGCTGCCCCTGTCAGACATGCCCCTACACTCATGTGTGCTATGGTGTTTTTAATATCCAGATGAGCCCATGCCGCGGTAATGGAGTTCATGCTCCCCCGTGTACACCAAAGAAGCGTGCACACAAGACGCCACAATGGTGAGAATACTTGAGTCATTGGAGTCACGCACGCATTTTGGTCTATTAGTAAGCTTCCTTTGTTTGTCTCACTCCTCAATGCTTGGTGGACCCTCTATGATAACCCCTTGTGTTTCTGTAGGTACATGGACTACGATATCAGCACGGAGCACCCGCCGGAACATGAGAAGCAGCGCAAGAAGGGCAAGGTAGGTCCAATCTAGTTGACAAACCATCTCAGCACCTCTCCTTAGTATCTCTCGTTCCCCTCAAGCTCTGCATTGTTTCCACCTGCGCCCCCGGGCACTCGAGGTTACTACTTGTATCCCAACCCCCCCCCCCCCCCCCCCCCCCCCACCCCCCCCCTCTCTCCCTCCCCCCATCGCCCTCCCCCTCCGCATTCACAGCGGGACGGAGGGAGACCAAGGAGGGGAGAAACGGACAGGAGTGGGAGGTGATGCATCGTTGTATGGAGTTGAAGCAGGGGCAGACGGGGAGACATTCGGGGAGGGTGTTTTGAGATGCAGCTGTAGGAGCAGGGAAAGGGGGTGAGGGTCTGGATTTGGGGCCGGGGAAAGGTGAGGGAGATGGCGGGAAAGAAGCTGAGGGGTCTGATCGGCTGAAGGAAGACGGACGCAGATTCGAGTTTGGAAGGCGGGATTGGATTGGCATGGAGGGGTGGGGGTGAGAGAAGGGGTGTGGGCCAATCAAATGAGTGGAGGGAAGGAGAGTGGAGTGTGAGGGGCTCGGATGCACAAGGTTAATCGTAGGGTTGGGGGACGCCGGTTGTGGGTAAGTGGGTGGGAGTGGGCGAAGCAGGGGCATTTGGCATGTACCAGGAATATTGGGAGGGGGGGTAGGGGGATGAGAGTGAAGAGTGGGTTGAGAAGGACCATAGGGAAGAATGGGTTGAGGCTGATGGATTATGGAGAGGATGTAAATGAAGAGGGGGCTGATGAGGAGGCATCGGAGTATGGTAGAGACCCTTCTGGGCTTGAGAGCAGCGCGGTTCTCTCGCAAGGGAGGAGTGGTGGCGTCGCTGGGAGTGGTGGAAACGGGAAATGGTCCTATGTCGGGTGCAAGGAATGATGTGCGAGCACTATTGGGTTGACAGGAAGGAGCGGGGAAGAGACAGCAGGGTGGCAGATGGAAGGAGGACAGTACAAGGAGGGGAACAGAGTGTTGGCAGTCCATAGCGCCTGGAGGAAAACGCTATGAACAGTGGCGTTGCAATGGAGGCTTGAGATGGCGGAGGCCATATGCGAACGCTATGTGGCCCTCAGTATCGACTGTTGATTAGGCCATATTTAGTCCCGAGCAGGGCTGGTCTAGTAATGTTAGGGACTGCCAAACAGTGTTTTGTACGAGCGCCACTCCCACTGACTACAGGGACTCTGACTGGCGTTGTCTTCCCTTGCTACGTCTGCAACCATCAGTGTCGCATCCATGCTTTCAACTGTGTGGGTCCCTTCAAGTGTAGCGTATAACTGTACTTTGCCCGTTGATTGCAATATGGAACTCCCACGGCTTTCATACCAATCAACGTCTTATGAACTGATGTATCAAAGGATGTTCTCTGATCGTCCGTTACACATCCTCTGCAAACAAACGCATACTGACAATATCATAGTCGTGATCAGAGTGCTACCGTGGTAGTATTACAGAGCTATTCATGAACTTCCAGAACCTTGCTCCCCCTTCCTCCTGCTTCATCCTCTTCCTCCTATTACTACTCTCCTCCTCTTCAGCCTCCCCTACTTCTTCCCTCAGTGTCACGAGACGTAGTTGGAATGAGAGTGGTGGGGGCGCGAATGCATGTCATGGCGCAAGGATTAGGTGTCGCCGAGGGCAAGGCAGGTTGTGCCACTGACATAATTCGGGCAGGACAGATAAGGGGCAGCGGGCGGAGAGTGAAGGGAGGACATTGTGAGCTGTAGGATATTGGAGTTTAGACATGACTGAGTGATAGAGAGACAACGTGTGCGGCGGACAGATGGAGCTGGGGTGTGTGAGTGATCAAATGGACAGAGGGGCAGTGGTGGGTGAGAGTGGAGTGGACAGAGGGTGCAAGAGATATGGGATGAGCAAATTCAGAGATTGCAAGGTGCACACCTGGCCACATACCTCCTCATCATCGCCTCCCTCAGCCGACGCTCGCTCGGCTAGACCGCCCTGCGCGTGGCCTCCCCCTGGCGACCGTCCATCTGCCCTCCGTCACCACCCAATCTCCTGGACCTGACCGTATTTCCTCTCCCGGCCCCTCTACTCCCCCACGTCGCCTTCGCAACGTGTCCAGCCACTCTACAAACATTCGAGTAAGTACCCTACCCCTACGCCAAACACCCCCAACGTTAATGAATGGTTGCAATCTTGGAGGCGTGGGTGACTCGCCGAAATGGTCAAGTGGTACCAAGTCTGGTAAGTCCTGTGTTGGGCGCGGGGTGCATAGCGAGATTGAGCACAGGCGTGTTAAAACGCACGCACAAGAGAGACCTCACCATGGACATGGAAGTTGCGTACAGATACATCCCACTCTCCCTCCATCTCCACCTTGCACACTCACCTTACATCCACCCGCGCCCACTCACTGCTCTTTCCACCGCGCCCACTGTCACCACACTCCCCCGCTACCACTCCCTTTCCATTCTGCCGCGCCCACTCACTGCTCATTTCCCCTCTTCGCCACCCGTGCATATCCCCCCCCTCACCTCATCAATGTCGCTGCTCATTCCCGTCCTCGTCGACGTACAGTGCCACGCCTCGTTGCGAGGAACCCTAAAAATTAGTCCCTCGTTGGGACTAAGCCCCTCCCCGCGATGTGCAATGAACCTGCAGGATAAACTGCCGGCGCATACACAGGGGGGCGACATGAGCAGAGGATGCACAGCGAGTTGGGAGGCGCCTGTCAGCATCGTCACGCTCGTGGTTGGGAGCAAACAGAGGGAGGTGAGGGGAGTGAGGGGGTGGGGGGGGGAAGGGGTGCAGACGAGTCACCGACAAATGCCAGGCCCCTGACAGTCGCCTCTAAACCCTGGTGGGGAGCAAAAGGAGGGTGGGTCGGTGAGTGGGGGTGGGGTAGCAGGGGACAGCGAGGATGACATGGGTAGAGGGGGGAAGAGAGGATGACATGGGTAGAGGGGGGAAGAGAGGATGACATGGGTAGAGGGGGGAAGAGAGGATGACATGGGTAGAGGGGGGAAGAGAGGATGACATGGGTAGAGGGGGGAAGAGAGGATGATGGGTAGAGGGGGGAAGAGAGGATGACATGGGTAGAGGGGGGAAGAGAGGATGACATGGGTAGAGGGGGGAAGAGAGGATGACATGGGTAGAGGGGGGAAGAGAGGATGACATGGGTAGAGGGGGGAAGAGAGGATGACAACCCTAGAGGGGGGAAGAGAGGATGACATGGGTAGAAGGGGGAAGTTTCAGAGGGGGAGTTGGGGATTGGACGGAGGGAAGTGGGGGAAAGCGACGTAAGTGGGGGAAGCTGAGGGTTGGCGTTGGGGAAAGGGAGGATTATTGCGTGCGAAAAGGCCGAGGGAGAGTGGGGTATTGGACGGGAAGGAATGGGGGAATGGACGGGTGGGAGTGAAGGACAGGACGGGGGGCAGTCGGGTTTTTTCACGAGGGGAGTGGGGCAATGGGCGTGGGAGAGTGTTCGAAAGGAAGAAGGCAGTGGGGGTCTGGACGCGGGGGAGAGGGGGCTGGGGCGGGTGGGTGTCGACAAAGGAAAATCACGTCGGGGCGAGAGGGTAATGGCAGGGTTGACGGGAAGGTTGGAAGCGTGCGGGGAAACAAAGTGAGCCGGGGGGAACTGAATGAGCAGGGTGAGGGTGCGTTTCTACTGCGGCTTGTAACCATTTCAGCTCGTTAGGCGGGTTGTGAGTGCGTGGAGGGGGAGTAGGGTGCGGTGAGGAGTGGTGAGGAGGTGGCATACCGTGTGGGGACGGGAGTGGGCGAGGTGTAACACAAGGGCGTCAGAGACAGCAGCAGTAGAGATGTGGGGGTGTGTGAGGGGTACTGCTGCTTGTAACCAATGCTAGCCGCACGGCGGGGTGTGAGGGCGTGGAGGAGGAGTGGAGTGCGGTGGAGGGTGGTGGGAGGTAGGGGGCAGTGGGAGAGGAGCAGGGCAGGGAGGGAGGGGTGGACGAGTGGTGGGAGAGGGCATTCCAGGCGAGGTTGGCGGAGAGAAGGCAGGGGAAGGCGAGGAGCAGCGAGGCTGCGGCGCTGGTGATGCTGATGGCCCACACTCACCGATGGCGCAAGTGCACCAGCGACTGCAGGAGAAGGGGGGGAAGCGGGGGTGGAATGGTGGGTGCGGGGAAAAGGGGATCCCTCAGTGTAGGAGGCGTTTGCGCATGTGAACCAACAACTTGAGGACGAGTGGGTGGGGTCCTGGGGGGGAGAGGGGGAAGAGAATGAGCATAGGAAACAGGGTGAGCCGGGGAAGAGAGGGTGACGGGAGAATGAGCAGCGCGACGGAAGGGGGAAGTGATGCGCAACGGGAGGGGGAAGTGAAGCGCAACGGGAGGGGGAAGTGAAGCGCAACGGGAGAGGGAAGTGGAGCGCAACGGGAGGGGGAAGTGAAGAGCCGGGGAAGAGAGGGAAAGGAAGAGCAACGGGAGAGAGATGTGAAAGCGACGGGGAGGGGGAAGTGAAGAGCAACGGGAGGGGGTTGTGAAAGCGACGGGTCGTAATTTAGGTACCGCATTCAATGTGAAGCCCAAATGGAGCGTGATGGGAGGGATGAGACGCAAGAGGGGAAGAGAATGGCAGCTTAGGGGAAAGGTAGAGGCAGCAAGAGAGGAGGGGAATGGCAGCGGGGGGGGTAGGGAATGTAAGCGTGTGTGGTAGGGAGTGGCATCGTGCGGGAAGAAGAGTGACAGAGTTAGCGTACGGACTCCCAGCGGGAGACAGGGGATTTGCGTTGTGAGACCCGCGTTTCACCGGTGAGTAAGTGGCGTGAGGCGCGTTTGAATTGAACAGCCGCGCGCCGGAGCCGTTTACACCCGCGCAACGGGGGGGGGGGGGGAACAGCCGTGAGAGCCAGGGAGTAGACGCGCCACGGGACGGAATAATCGGGCAGCGGAAAAAGTATCGCGACGGGAAGGGAATAGCCGCGCGGAGGGAAGGGAATCGTGTCGTTAGGGTAGAGAGTTGAGGCGCGTGGGAAGGGAAATAAGCGGGTGGGACGGGTCGAGTGTTTCCCGGAAGTCGCTTGCGGGCGAGTTCTCACACGCGATAAGCCTATGGCCTGCAACATGCATCTAGCGTGAGTGGGTGTTGGCAGTAACATTCGACCGATTGGCGGAGTTTTAGCTAGATTCTCCTAGCTTACGACTATATCGGCCTAGTAAAGCGCGATTATGCCTCCTGTTGTGTGAAGGAGTAGTGCCAGACTAGGGAATGCATCGGGTTCTGGACGACCATCCAACTTTCGTGCGATGGCTACGGTCGCAAAGTTTTACTTGGACGACTCATTTGTGAAGCAGGGTAACCCTGGCGAGACCCCTGTTGTCAGCGACACTAGACATTCCAATTTCGGAAAAGTGCTGGTTCGCGGGCCAATAGCATTCAATTACCCAACCAACCTTCCTAAGCTTGAAAGCTGTGGCCTGCGGGTTTTAACTCCTTCCCACGATTCCTGCTCGGACTGATCGCGAGAGCTCATCGTTGAATCAACGGCTCGATGATTAACCATTGCTTCAAGAAACGTAGGCCTGAGCATGTCCGGCAGGTGTTGCACTGCGACGTTCTGAGGGTTCTGAGGCATGACGGAAGGTCAGCGTTCTGAGGGTCTAATGATGTAAAAACGCTGCTGCTTCTGGACCTGAGAATAACCGAGTGCTGCAAGAGAACTGGCGGGAATTTCGTGTTCGGCGTAGGCATTTTATCGCCAGCCATTGCAACTCGTGAAGGGTCCATGCATGAATGCAGTATGGCTGAATGGGCTAGAGAGACAGGAGTCACAACACAACAACTCTCTCAGGCATCGACATTCCCAAGGCATCGTGGTTTGAATGGAAGGGATTCCCGACTCCAACTCCCTCCTGAGGTTGTGTTTAGTGTGGTGGCGGGGCGGCTGGTGGAGGGTTGGGCATGGTGGGAGGAGTGGGGCGAGCGAGGGGTAAGTACATTTAGGGCGCGTCACGTTTAGATTAACGGCCGTTTGTTCATAGTTTAGTCGTGTGAGGGTACAGCTCAGATGACAGTACCTGAAAGCGCACTGTACATTGAGTGTGTCCCTCGAAGCCCTTGCCCCAAGTTCACTGACACGCTCAAGTAGTACAGTACGATTACAGGCGAAACATACCAGGGTTACAAGTGTTCGCTGAAGAAACTGCATGTCCCAAAAATTGCGGTGGTGTTTGCGAAAGTAGCGACCAACACCATGTTACCTGTTTCTGAAGTTGACAAGGTACATGAGCCGCCGGACGTACTTCCGCTGGAAAAGCGTACGAGCCTCTAATGTACAGCTGTAAGTTTCGAAACTGTTTCCATTATTGAACAGTTTCGCGCCATTCTTTAATATCACTATTTGTATCTGCTACAAGTCAGAAAAGGGTAACTGATATGGAGAAAAGGCGAAAACTGTACCTGTTCATCTAAACATGACACGCCCTTTTTTCGTTTGTGGGTGGATGTTGTGGACATTGTCAGTAACCGCGCTTCGTGGTCAAACGCAAAATTATCAACATTTCCATTGGTGGTTAGGGCCGTGCCACTTGGAGATTGGCCCCGCGCCGTTGATTTTCCTTCTTACCGAGGCTGGTATGCTAAGTCCAGAACGCGCTTTGGCATGACAGCTTTGGCAGCTCCTCACTACTCGCCAACATGCAGGAATTCAAAATCAGCTCAATGGGAGCATCACACATGTAAGATGAGATATATGGATTGCAATGTGTTTGGTTTTTTCCTTAACTATCATATAAAAGGTGGAACTCATAAACCCACCAGTACTGTAGGTAAAACCGTAGCATAAGTTGTGTGCTAGGTTATGAGTAACGGGTAACTACATGGACTAAGCTTCTTTGCTCCTACAAGTACGATTACTCTATTGCCGTTTTTCCTAATCGGTAACCCTCTAAACCATTTACCTGTTGGCCTCTCCCCACCTCCTCCGCAGTCGCCCCTGATGTTCATTGCCTTCCGGACTTTGAAGTTTATCCAGTGCGTCTTCCTCTATCCGACTCTTGGTCTGCAATGGAGTGCTTGACTGGACCACTCTTCCTCTCTCGACCTCCCTAGTCTGCAGTGCTCTACAGGATCGCCCCTTGTACTTGTTCCGCCCCTTCCTCCACCAGCAACGGTCACCAAGCCCTTTCCCGCACAGCCTCTCACAATCCCTGCTCTGCAAGGCAGTGTCTCGGCACCCCCTCCCACACAGGGGGGTCTGCAGTGTCATGCTGGGCCTCTCTTGCTGCTCCTTGCACCCCCCTTCCTCTTCCACGCCCATCACAACAAGAGTCCAGCAACGGTCACCAAACCCTTACAGCACAGCCTTACCTGCAGGGAGCAAGCAAGGGGGCAGGCGGGCGGAAGGGGGGGGGAGCAGGGGTGGGGGGGAATATGCATTATTCGAATGCACTGAGTTTTGAGGGCGTGTGATGATCGAATGCACAAGGCGCTGGAATGGTACAGTATGCAAATTGCTGTGAATAGATACAGTACGCAAATACTGTGAATGCATACCATATGCAAATACTGTGAATGCATACAGCATAGCGAAATGGACTTTGACAAGCCTTATGTAACACATGTATATGCTGCACAGCACACGCACAACACCGTCACCGCACGCAAATCACCGTCACAGCACGCACATCACATCAACATCACATGCCTAACAGCGGCAGCACGCAGAACAGCGACCCCTGCATCAACAGCACACACTGCACGGCGAATGCACAGCACCGCACAGCACCACATTGCACTGTCACAAGGACCCCATCATCACATACCTGACAGCTGCAGCAGCACACCGAACAGCGACCCCAACACCAACAGCACACACCGCACAGCACATCAACACCGCACAGGACCACATAGCACCGTCACAAGGACCCCAAACATGGCATACCTGGCATCAGCAGCAGCACGCAGAACAGCGAACCCAGCAGCAGACTCAAAAATAGCGACGTGTACGCCTCTCCGCTGTGGCACACTCCCATTCCCCGCGCGCCCGTGAATACCCCCCCTACGCCCGCGGATCCCAGCCCGGCGGCGGAAAGCGCCCCTGCAGAGCGGAAGGAGCGGCGGAGGCCGGCCGCGGAGCCCTTGGAGTGGCGCGGCGGGCGGGGCGGCAGGCCGAGGGGCAGGCGGAGCTTGGACGGCGATAGTGCCTGCTGCTGCTTCTGCATCGGCTGCTGCTGCTGCGGGTGATCGTGATTGCAATGCTGCAACGGCTGCTGCTGCTGGTTGTGGTGCTGCTGCTGCTGATGCTGTTGGTTCTGGTGGCGCATCTGCGGCTTCTCCTGTAGCATTGTGACAGCCATCTCTCGGAGACCTAACGTCTCTACCCAGTCGTTAAGAAGCGCCCCCCAGCGCTTTAGATTAGCTACTAATCTGCTGTCGGACCGCGAAACCCACGCGACTGGGAGGATGCTATCTCCTTGCGCGACGAGGCAGCGGCGGCACTGTAGCGCGACGCCATGGATTCGGCAATACGCACCCGTGCCGTCCACGTCAGTGCCTAAATCGCATTCTCTTGTAACGGGGTCAGAGGTGGAGATTGGTCCTGGTGCTGCCGGTGACGGAAACGGGGACGAACCGAAAACGGAAATTGTCGTCTCGGCTTGTTGCGGTGCGTATTCCCGGCAGAAAACGGCGCCGTCCTCCGCAGAGCACGCCGTGGATGGCGGCGGATGCGGCGGCGGAGAGCGCTGCGAGAGCGGAGAAAAGGGGAGCGTCGCGTCGTTAACGAGGCTGCTGCGACGCTCTCTCGTTGGCGATATGCTTCGCTGCGCCGGGCTCTTGACGACGGCGGCGGGATCGCCGAGAGTCTTATTGCTGCTGCTGTACGACGGGAGCATGTGGACCGGGCTGAGGTGCGATGAGTGCTGCGACGGTTCCTGCGACGAGTGCTGCGACAGTGGCTGCTGAGCAGGCGTCGGCGACAGGAACTGATGAAGCAGCTGCTGCCGCGGGAGTGGCGAAAGCGACTGAATGGGCGACGGCGACGACTCCGCGTGCGACTGCGGCGTCGGAGTGAATGACTGCGGCGACAGCAGCTGTTGAGGCGTTAAAAACACTTGCGGCGACGCGTGCTGTGGCGACGCGTGCAGCGGCGAAGAGTGGTGCGACACCTGCTGCGAAAATTGCGCTGACGTGTGATGCTGCTGCCAACAATGCTGAAGCCTCTGCTCTTGCGGCGGCTGCTGCTGCTGCCATTGCCCCTGCGACTGCCCCTGCGATTGGCCCTGCGACTGGCCCTGCGACTGGTCCTGCGACTGGTCCTGCGACTGAGTGTTATCTTGGCGACCGCTCTGCTGCAACTGAGCCGGTTCTCCTAAACACATCGAGTTCGGGCTATGCCGAGGCGAACAACCAGGTACGGGGGTGTGCTGAGGCGAACATCCAGGCACGGGGGTGTGCCGAGGCGAGCAACCAGGTAAGGGACTCATGGAGATATTCCAAATGTGAAAGAACGAGGAGAGCGAGTCGGATTGCCCACCGCCGATTCGCGGGCTATTGGAGAGGAGATTAACGACC